CACTTCAAATTAGCAGCTCAGGTATTTTATTTGATTTCAGCTGCTTCCTTATCTTCAAAACACAGCCAAGAGACAACAAGACCACCCCCCCCCCCCCCAATTGTGTACTTGCTAGCAGAAAGTGGGCAAACACCATCTGAGAGGGGACCAATAACTGGAAATAATTATACTGTTTTTCTTCTCAGCCACTGGCATCTTCTGGTTTGAGTCCTGATTTGGTTAGAGGCTGGCTTAAACAGATTTTGAGTCACCCAGATCCAGTAAAAAACCAAGTCCACTGACAGCTAGGTGTTACCTTCTGTATCCCGATGGCAATACAGTCTAAATCTCGGTATTGCCCCCAGATGTATTGTCTACACAGGCATCAGGAAGATTGACAGAACAGAACCTTGTGATACCTTTTATATAGGAGAGAGTTGTCATGGCAGGCTGGTGTTTACCTTCACACTCTGGATCCTGTTGAAGATCTCTGATATAACTTCGGTGCTACATTAATTGAGTATTACTTTGATCCTGTTCCTTCAAATGTTTGGAGCTCATCTTCCAGAGAAATGGAACAAAATAAAGGAAGTAACGTAACATATTTACTACATCACTGAGGCTTCACTTACCTTTTTGCTGCTTTTCCCATAGATGCTTGGCATACTTTTCTTTCCCTACTGTCTCTTTTTCCCCCTCAGTTGAAGATAACTCCTTTTGACAATCCAGAAAAGTATTTTTTTATAGTCTCATTTCAGTCCTGTTTCTGTAGCTGTGTAGTTTGAGGTGGGACATAAATCACAGCAGGAGAACCATAAGGGATGTCTATCCCCTCTCTCCAATTATAGCAGAAGGCTGTTATGGAGGGACAAATGGCTTGAAAGAAAAACACAGAAGAATAAAAGGGTGGGGGAGGGGGGGAGAAGGAAGATCTACCTACACCAGCACCCTTGTCTGTAAATCAGATAGATGTGTACCTTGAAGAATCAAGGAAGTTTCTCTTATGAAAAGAGATGAAAGAGGAGTGCCCAGTCCTTTGTGTGTAATACCACTGAGGAGAAATACTTCATCATATACAGTAGCACTTCATTCCTGTGCATATCAAATTAATGGCAGGGATATCTGCAGGAAACAAGCTGGGGTTGCTGGTTTCTACTTTTGCATTTGATAGCTACCCTGGGTTAAACTATACTAGAAATATATCTAAACTGATGATGAGTTTCCATACAACTACCTCATGTTTGCTAGGTATCCCAAATATGAAAAGTTATCCTTTTAAAGAATGCAAAAGTAATTGCATTTAGTAGTTGTATCTGGATGTTTAAAGGATTGCTGTAGCCTAAAAGGGTTTGGGGGACCTTTGCAAGTAGAGTAGAAAAACTAACAAAACTCGATTGCTGATTTCCACTAAATTTGACTACCATTCCGTGAGTTTGCTTAGAGAAACTTGAGCTAGTTAATAGCCAGGCACAAAAAGATGAGGATCCTTTGGGATCCTATAGGTATATCCAGTGAAATAGCTAGTCTTGCTGTAGCAGTCTTATGTATATAACATTCTATAAAAGTTGTCTTAGTTAATGCACAATGATTGCATTCTATTCAGTTTTCTTGATATAGCAATATTTGTTCCTTGGGATGCAAAAATCTGAGTAAAAATGCCATGGGACAAATGTCCTCTCAATCTACAAATGCTTACTTTTATTGAAAATGTTTAAGAGACCGCATTCATGGGACCATTAGACAGATACACTGACTTTTTTCCAGATGACACTCTACAACTTGGTTCTGGCACTAATTCTTGCTGTGTTTCTACCTATTTCTAACAAATATTCTGTTTTGTACAAAAGGCTCAACCAGTCAAGACGTATTCCTTTTTGAGGGCCTGGAAGTTGTGTTGCTGCTCTCTCAGATCTTAAATTTACCCCTTTGGGGGGCGGGGGGTGAGGCTTACAGGAATAATTAAAGATATTTGCCCAGCAAGTGACTGGTCATTGCATCATTAAGGATTCAGTGTTGAGGATACTGCTTTCTTCCTTGACTCTTGTTGACTGAGGTGAGGAGCCAGAGATGGATGAAGATTTGGAACTCAAATGGCAGAGTCTGAGGGGTGGAGCCTGGATCTAACTAGGCAGGGAGGTTGGGGTGAAGAAGCAGAGGGGTCTCTGTGGAACAGATAGCACTGGGTTGGGGGTAAAGGGGGAAGCAGGATCTAAAGCAGCAAGAGACTGCTTCCCTCCAGAACCTGGCGTGGAACCTAAGACTCACGTCTGTGGTCTGTTTTTGACAAATGTCTGAAACCCACTGGCAAAGTGTGTGTCAAGTCCCCCTCTAGCGTTGGTCCACATGGAGAATGACATCCTCTACAGTTACCAGTTTCTCCAGTATCTCAAGTGGCAGAGATCTGTCTGGATCTAAAGGTTCCAGTCCTGTAGATGACTCCTGTGGGAGTAAGAGCCACCTGATGGAATTTCTGCTTTTCAGTTAGCTTTATGTTCTCTTTTAATAAAGAACAACCCAGGAAATCACTTGCACACAACTGCACTAAAAGAATATTAAGTTTGAAAAGTGAAACACTCAAAAGTTAGGAAATGCCAGAATTAAGATTGGCTGTACAAACTTAATTTGTGTGCCTTGTGCGTCTGTATTGTGACTGTCCTTGATTACATGATCATTTACTGCTCCTCCCCTCACCCCACCCCTACACTCCTCCCTCATTCAGTGCACAGGCTGGACCTGTTCTGAGAATGAATCAGGATTGTGAATGGAAGAAGGCAGTAGGACCCCCTCCCTCATTTGTTGTAGATATTGAGGGTGCATGTACCTACTGCAGATACTGGGATGACTTGCCCAAAACTAAAGGCCCATCTCCTCCTCTGAGGGGACAAAAAGGGGTGGGGGGGAAGGAGTGAAGGTCACAGAGCTGAAATAGTGTGTGTGCACTGCTTGTGGATAGTGAGACAGTCTGGTCTAGGCCTGCCCAAAGCTAAAGACCTGCCCTCTCAGCTGAGGGAGATGAGCCATTGGACCTAGGCTGCATGTGAGTAATGGGGATAACAAGTGAAAAAACAGGGAAGGGCGTGAAGGTCAAAGGGCCAAAACTGTGTTCCTGTGGTTCTGGGAGATGGTAGACCTAACCATGCCCAGAACTAAAGACCCTCCCCATCGATTGAAGGAAGAGGCAGGCCAGTGAACCCAGACCACAAGCTGCAGGGAACAAGAAATGATGGGAGTGAAGGTCAGTGGGCCAAAACTATGTAGTAAATGAAGCAGGGGATTGGATGAAGGAAAAAGATGGTCTCATAGTTAAGGCAATTGAAAGCTACCTTGGGCAACGATTCTAACCCTGCCTTTGCCACATGGGTGTTCTTTGTCATGCTAGGCAAGTTACTTAAACCACATGTTAAAAATTTGGTCACTAACTACACGCACATTTTTTTGTGTGCTCAGCTTGCACCTGTGGGGTCTAATTTGCAAAAGTGCTGGTCACTAAACTGTAGCTGAAGTCCGTGGTGGCTGTGCTTTGAACATATGGTGCTATGTATTAAATTTTATTTGAAAAATCAGGCCCTAGGCACCCAAACTTAGTGGATGCTTTTGACCTTCATTTTGATTCCATTTTCTCTGTGGCTAAAATGAGGATAATTAGATCTGACTAAATAATTTAGTGTAGCGGGAGAACGTAAATAATCCATTTGTTTTGGTTTAAAACTAACAAATATTGAGTTGAATCAACACTTCTTTAGGAGAAAATCAGGGTTTTTTTTAGTTGAAACTATTCAAAAATTGGAATTAAATTGGCAAATAGTTTTAGTATTCTAAAATGCATTTTTGATGAATTTGCTATTTGTTGAAAATCTTTGTGCAGCTCTTATAATACCATCTCGCCTCATGTGGGTGTTGTGAATATAAATTAGATTCACATTTGTGAAGCTCTCTGTTACGACAGTGTTGCGTGCCATAGAAAAGCCCATGAGGAAACTAATAATTCATTCTTCAGAGCGTGTGGTTTGAATGGTGTGCAGTAAAAACAAGGGGCCACTCATGGCTATATGCTCTTTGAACAAAATACTGGATAGCTGCTCATTCATTGAGTACCATCCATTCTGTGTGCTAAGTGAAACTGGGGTCCTGTGGAAAAAATAGTATATGATCATGTAATTAAAGACTGTATCATAATGTATAAACATAAATGCATGCAATTAAGGCTGCCTAGGCAGCCTTAATTCTACTATATAACTTCTGAGTGCTTGACTTAAGATTGTTCTTTTGAATGTTTCTTTCTGTTTAATCGGGGGTGGGGGGGGGGGGGCATGGTGGCCTGTGTGTATACCCTATTACAAATGTAAATGATTTGTAAAAGTCACTTAATCTCAAACTATTCAGACTGTTTAAGACAAAGTTGCAGATCTTGATAGACCTCTGATTTGATACAACTTTAAATTGCGACAGAGTACAAAATCTCTCCTTCAAAGGGATCACAATAATTTGATCATATTAAGAGCTAGTTGTAGTGGCTATAACGGTTTTTTTAAAGATAAATTTCTTCCATGGGTTTTGTTCTGGGATTGCTCATATATGAGTGCCGCATTTAATTACTTGTTTAAGGATTTTTAGATTGGATAATGTGGAATTCTGGAACTCTGCAAGCAGATCTGGCAGTCTTCTATGTCTACTAACTCTGTCTTAAATCCCAATTGATAGATATAGAAGTGCATTTTTCAAAAGTTTCATTGTAGAATTAGTCGTATAGGTTTAAAGTGACCATGGAGCTTTGAGGAAAAGCAGCTTTAACTATACATATTTAATTATTCTAAATGCAGCTTAGTGCTAGGTAAAAAGAGTAAATACTGAAAAACCAGTCCATGAAGTGGAATTAATTCAGAACATATGTTTTTGGAAAATTATTTGTGGTATTTCTGTTGTAAATAGAGTAAACTGGAAATGGAAAGTATTTTATCCATGGGAACATTTTGAAGTTTTAGTATCCTAAAATGTAGTATATAAATTTATCGAATTTGCAGTCTGCAGCAAATCCAGAGTCCCAATGTGCAAGCATCTCCAGGGAGGAGAACACCCAGTTGTCGTCAACAACCAGTCAAGGATATGTTTTACCAGAAGGAAAAATCATGCCGAACACAGTCTTCGTTGGTGGAATTGATATAAGGGTATTTAAATGTCTTGTCTTTCACATATATTCTGTAGTGATTGGACTGTTCTTTTTGGGAGTGCAGAGCAGAAAACAGACTTTTACTTTTTGCAGGAATTACCTGATCCCATGGCATCTACCAGTTTTATGGTATTGCACTGCTATGTGAGATCTGAGTTCAGTTCCAGTTTTATCCCTTAACTAGGTGAGCAGCACTGAATTGTGCAGTAACAGTGGGTGGGTTTGAAAGTGGCTCCTGCTTCTGTAAATCCACTTCAAACAGTTAACTCCTTTTTGCAAACTTGTGCTCAAGGCTTTCTTGTGGTGGCCAGTGATTTTTTTTTTTTAAGCTAAACAAATTCTGTTCCTTTAGATGGATGAAACAGAAATTAGAAGCTTCTTTGCACGATATGGTACAGTGAAAGAAGTGAAGATAATCACTGATAGAACTGGTGTTTCCAAAGGGTAAGTAGAACATGAATGATTTGTCTTGGATCATTAAAGCCTTTTCTAACCTAGTGAAGTTGGTAACTATAAATCACCAGAGGAAGCAGCAACACATGGAGAGTTGGACTAACCCACCCTACAACACGCTGTTAAAATGCTTGAGCCCTGTATGCATCACTACTTCCAGAAGTGGTGAATTACAACTAACCAGTTGGCTCATATAGACTCAGTTTAAGTATAGCTGATTTTGTAAAGAATAATATGGTATGCTTTAGCTGACTTAATAAATCTTGCTTTTCAGGGGGCATATAATTGGTGGAAGCAAAACTTAAAACTTGCCTTGGCTGCCAAATGCAGCCAGCTTTTGATGGGATTGAATGGGATGAAATTCTTTTGGGTGAACAGTAATGTAAGCAGCTGGGCTAAAAAGATAAGAATCATGGATACACTTTCTAGGTGTGAGCTTTTGGAGCTGGAAAGAACTCTCCTGTCACTCCTCTATACCTGGTGCCCCAGCCTTCCCCCTGCAAGTTGTGATCCACTCTGGGTAGCTGGAAGTCTTGGTTATTGGTAATGTGCTAGACAGAAGACTAATTTTGATTTTAAAATTACTGTTTTGTCCATGCTTAATGTAATAAAATCTTGTTGCTCTAAGTCTCGCATCAACTCTGTGATGGGACCAAATACTATCCCAGTTTCCCAAATTGTGGAAACCAAGACAGAGGTGAAGTGAATTGCACCAGTCGCACCCAGTCTGAAATGAGAATCAAATCACTACCTGGATGCTAGTTGGCACCTTGTAATATATACACCTTTGCATCAGTTTTTGGTTCACAGAATCCAGTGGAATGATACTGACTTGGACTTGACTATCTTTTGGCATACAGTAACCCAATTTATGCTATTGAGTCTTGTTCAAAACAGACTTGTAGGTTGTGCAGTAGTCACACTGAACTTTTTTCCTTTGCAGATATGGATTTGTATCCTTTTTGGACAATGTGGATGTTCAGAAAATAGTGGAAGTAAGTTACTTGGCTATTTGAGGATGCTCATATTCATATCTGTATTCTGTAATGAAGAATGCAGTGTGGTGGTTGGTTTATGGAGGTAATAACAAGGAAATTGAGTTGTCTAAAGGTTATATGACCATCTGGAATAGATTAAGTGATTAGGAAGAGGCAAAGATTAAGACTGTTTAAAACAATCTTTCTAAAATGCCCCGTGCTGTTGAAGTAGGCTTTTTTTACGCAACGTATTTAGCCAGAAATAAGACTAAAACATTTAGTTTTATTGCTTGGAGGTGTCCATTCAAAGTCCATTCCTTCCACTCCTAGCTGCCATTCAAAGCACACTTGGGTAGTTAAGGGCAAGATACACTGACCAAGTTATGTAAAAATTACACTATTAACTGATAGAAAAGACCAAGAGTACAACAGAATTGTAGTATGACAGCTGTGAAAAAAGGCTCTAGCAGTATGCTTGAGCATATAGAGAGCAAAGCAGGTTAAACACCCTGGGCTTTCGGGTGTGTAGGGCACTCTACTCGTCTAGGTGGTGCCTCACTGTCCACACTACCATTTATATCCATGCTAGCTGTGCATGCAGTCTCTGTACTCTAAAGGTACATCTACATTTACAGCAGCACGTAGATTGACTTAAATAGTTATTGACCTGTCGTTGAATCTGAAAGTATAGTAAGTGGTGAGTGATTTTTGTTGTTTTTTTTTGTTTGTTTGTTTTTCCTCCCCCAGTCACAAATAAACTTCCATGGTAAAAAACTGAAACTGGGCCCAGCAATCAGAAAACAACAGAATTTATGTAAGTAGATCTAGACTGGAACCTTAACTTGTAAAGCAGCATCCTTTCATAAGGAGAAATATGTAAGATATTAAAGTCATTTGTTTATCTGTGATATTTACAATCTTGTATTATTAGTATGAAAAGTGTTACAACTAAAGTAAAATCTAAGTAATTATCTCAGTATTGACTGTTAATTTTTTTTACTCGGTTTTGACAAAGAAAGCCAACTGTGATAAATTTTGTACTATCATAATGCCCCAGCATGTAAACTGCAAACACTGCTGAACTGATCTATTATCCTGCACTACTTTTTAATTTAAAATAATAATAATTATTAATTAATGGAAACATACATATCTGAACTCCTACAAACCTTGATTTTTTTTTTAGGCCTAAACTACTGATAAAATTACAAAAAAATGTTTTGGATCATCTTTCCTTTGTCTCTAAACTAGGTACTTACCATGTGCAACCCAGACATCTGGGTTTTAATCCTCCTGTGCCACAGTTTCATAGCGTGTGGAGTAATCAAAACGCAGAAACATACATGCCTCCTCCAGCTATGATGAGTCCAGTAACTCAGTATGTTCAGGTAAGTTTATTTCTTTATGGTCTGATCTTGGATCATAACTGCTTTCTTCAAAGCACTAGAATGTAACACTTCTGAGAGCCACACTTGCATGGCCTCTGAAATATATACTAGAGGAACTTTAATTTTTGACATTCATACCCCTAAAAATGAAAATCTAGTTGTAACAATAGCAAATAAACCAAGTGTGGACAGAATTGTCTTCTAAAGCAGGCAGAACTGTCAACTTAGAAGTACCACCTCAATATGTCTTTCAAATTAGTCTTCTACTGTATAGAATCTTGATACGTGCAGCCAGTTACTAACCCACTATACCACAAAGTACCTCTGCAATGTGTAAGCTCACTTTGTATTTAGGGAGATTGTTGATTTCTAAATGAAGCTAAACCATAAGAATGGTCATACTGGGTCAGACGAAAGGTCCATCTAGCCCAGTATTCTGTCTTCTGTTCATTTCCTCTGAAGCACCTGGCACTGGGCAGTCAGAACAGGTAATCATGAAGTGGTCCATCCCCGGTTACCCATTTTCCCATCTTCTGGCAAAGCAGAAATCTTCAGCCTGGTAATGCTACAGAATGGAGCAAGAAAAGGGAATGGGGGGAAGTAACCTAGCTTATAAGAGATGTTGAGTAGTCTGGAGGTTGCTCCCAAAGCACACAATTCTTTACATAACACTTGAGCAGAGAAACTTATTTAAATGATCTTTTTGATTTTGCTTGAGAGTAAGTTAAAGGACTAGTGTACAGCATCCCTTTTATTAATGGGGTATGGAACAGCAAAGCTGGCTCTGTCAACGCTTTCTCCAGGGAAAACTGTTTGCTTGCTTCGGATTGGTACAGTACCCTTGTATAAAACACAAATATTGCACTCACTTCTGTAAGACATACCATTATTGTGGGCATGATCAATATCCCCATTTAAGTGATATCTTTATACATCTAATGAGGGGAAATGGAATACATGCTCATACATATCTATGCAGTAGTCTCCTAAGCTGTCGTCATGCTTTGTTCCCTTCCAGCACCACATTGGGAGGATCCCCTAATAGCTTTTCTTCTGAACTCGCCCAAACCCCATTGCCTACTAACTATGACCAAATCCTGATATTTATTGTAAACTTGCTTGGATTTGGCTACTTCTTTTTTCTTAAGAAGGCATGCATCCCATGGTGAGTTAAGAAAATAACTTACTAAAAGTAAAATATTTGGTAAATGTGCTCTGGCCCTAAAATTTGAAGGATGAAAAATTTGGGGGGTGGGAATGATTCTAATTCCTCATGTGCTGAAATAGTGTAAGTAGACACCGGAAGGGCTTTACCATTTAGCATCAAATGAGCTGTAACAAACCAAAAATAAACTGTCTGTAAAATCTTACCTCAATTTTCCAGTTGCAAGTCCTCTTTAAACAACTCCAGACCAGGGGTTCTCAAACTTCATTGCACCATGACCCCCTTCTGACAACAAAAATTACTTCATGATCCCAGGAGTGGGGACTGAAGCCTGAGCCCCAGGTGGGGGGTCAAAGATGAAGACCAAGCCCCACTGCCTTGGGCAGTGGGCCTGTAATCTGAGCTCTGCCACCCAGGGCTGAAGCCCTTGGGCTTTGGTCCCAGAAAGCGGGGCTCAGGCTCTGGCTTTGGCTTCGGCTTCAGCCCCAGCAAGTCTAACACCAGCCCTGGTGACCCTATTAAAACAGGGTTGCGATCCGCTTTGGGCTCCTGACCCACAGTATGAGAACTGCTGTTCGAGATGAACCTTTAGTTTAAGGAAAGTAGGGGGAGGATTTTAAGAAATCAAGTAGTGTAACACTTTTTGGGGACAGTAGATATTTGATTCCAACTCAACTGCTTGAAACCTTGCATGTCCTGAGAGAACAATCTACTTCAGACTTCTGTTGATGTTCAACTATTGGAAGTGAATTGTTTACTTTGCCTAAACTCAGAATCTGGTTAAAATAAAAAAATCATTGTTAGAAGCAACTACTTCCACTCCTATACAAATGTTTACTGCACAGAAGGCTAAAGTGAGCTAAATTTACACGCCAGCTTGCTGCAAATTCAGTATTTTATAGATAAGCCCTAAAGAATGTTCTGTTAGTCAGTGTATGTTAAAAGCCCCATTTGAGGCTCAGTGAGACTGACTGACTTACTCTGTTGCAAGCCAAGGTGTGGGTCTACAGTGGGGAAGTCCTGCATTGGAGTAGTTTCCATACAGTGAAAGCAGCGGAGTGCAGCTTGGTGGGATATGATAAAACAGTGGTTACACAGGATGTTACTGTACAGCAGATTGGTGTGCTATAAATTCACACCATGGCTTGCCACTCTGTAAGTAGCTGTGTAGACAAGTCTTTAAGCTCCCTTTTGAAAATTGGACACACCCTAAGTGTCTAAGACCTCACTGTGGTCAGAGGTATAACTACTGGCTTTCATACACATACCCGTGTTAGCTGTCGTCAAGCTTCTGTGCTAAAAAAGCATGTAGCTGTGACTACGTGGGCTAGCCACCCTGAGCATACCTGACTCCCTGCAATTGTAGTTGGGCAGCTAGCCTATGCCGCTGCCCATGTATCTGTGGCTACATTGCTGTTTTTAAAAAGAAAAGGAGTACTTGTGGCACCTTAGAGACTAACAAATTTTTAGTCTCTAAGGTGCCACAAGTACTCCTTTTCTTTTTGCAAATACAGACTAACACGGCTGCTATTCTGATAGTTACACTAAAAATAGCAATCTCAATCAGCTGGTGCTGGTAGGTTTACCAGAGCTGGAAATTCTACACTGGCTGCAGTGTAGATGTACTTTACCTAATCGCTTTAACCTATGAAATGCAAAACTTTTCCCCCCCTCTCCCGCAGGCATACCCTTATGGGTCGCAAGCTGTACTGATACAACAGCAAGTTCCTGTAGGCTACCAGCCTGCCTACAACTATCAGGTACGTATTTTTTAAAATGGCTTAATTGATTTAAAAAAAAATCGTGAATCAGAATATCTAAACATTCTGATGTCTAAATATTGGACCTCAATTTGTTGGTCCCACCCCCCACCAAAAAAATCTTTCTCCAGTTGACTTGATAAATTCTTTGTTTTAGGGTTGTTGATTAATCACAGTTAACTCACATGATTAACTAAAATCACAATTAACTTTTTAAAAACGTGATTAATTGCCGTTATAATAGCACTGTTAATAGACTACCAATTGAATGTATTTTTGTATGGTTTTCCTACATTTTTCAAATATATTGATTTCAGTTATAACGCAGAATACAAAGTGTACAGTGCTCACTCTATATTTTTCATTACAAACATTTGCACCGTAAAGAATTGAAAAATACTTTTTTCTTTTGCTTATCGCCTCATACAAGTACTGCAGTGTAATCTCTGTCTTGAAAGTGCAATTTACAAATGTAGATTTTATTTATTTTATTTGTTACATAACTGCACTCAAACAAAACAATCTAAAACTGTAGAGCCTACAAGTCCACTCATTCCTTATCTTGTGTGTCTTTTTGGAATTGGCTGAACAAGTTTGTTTACATGTACAGGAGATAATGCTGCCTGCTTCTTGTTTACAATGTCACCTGAAAGTGAGAGCAGGTGTTTGCAAGGCACTTTTGCAGCTGGTGTTGCAATTATTTACGTGCCAGATATGCTAAACATTCATATGCCCCTTCATCCTTTGGAAACCATTCCAGAGGACGTGCTGATGCTCATTTAAAAAATAATGCATTAATTACATTTGTGACTGAACTCCATGGGGGAGAATTGTATGTCTCCTGCTCTGTTTTACCCACATTCTGCCATCTATTTAATGTTATAGCAGTCTCAGATGATGACCCAGCACATCTTCATTTTAAGAACACTTTCACTGCAGAATTGAAAAAATGCAAAGAAGCTACCAATTTGAGATTTCTAAAGATAGCTGCAGCACACAACCCAAGGTTTAAGAATCTGAAGTGCCATCCAAAATCTGAGGGGCAAGGTGTGGAGCATGCTTTCAGAAGTCTTAACAGAGCAACACTCTGATGTGGAAACTTCAGGACCCAAACCACCACCAAACATAAAATCCACCTTCTACTGATGGCATCTGACTCAGATGATGAAAATGAACATGCGTCAGTCCACGCTGCTTTGGATCATTATCAAGCAGAATCCGTCATCAGCATGGATGCATGTCCTTTAGAATGGTGGTTGAAGCATGAAGGGACATACAAATCTTTAGTGCATCTGGCATGTAAATATCTTGTAAATATCGATGCCATGCAAACAGCCATTCTCACTTTCAGATGTTGTAAACAAGAAGTGGGCAGCATTGTCTCCTGCAGATGTAAACAAACTTGTTTGAGCAATTGGCTCAACAAGAAGTAGGACTGACTGGACGTGTAGACTCTACGTTTTACATTGTTTTATTTTTGAGTGCAGTTATTTTTTAACGTAATTCTACATTTATAAGTTCAACTTCCATTATGAGGAGATTGCACTACAGTACTTGGGTGAATTGAAAAATACTATATTTTTTACAGTGCAAATATTTGTAATATAAAGTGAGCACTGTACACTTTGTATTCTGTTGTAATTGAAATCAATAGATTTGAAAATGTAGAATACATCCAAAAATATTTAAATGGTATTCTGTTAACAGCACAATTAATCGTGATTTTTGTAAATGCTTGACAGCCCTACTTTGTTTAAAAATAGATGAATACTGGCAACAATTTAGACGTTCTGGACACTTTCTCCTGGGTTGCATGGCTGTTTAGAAATTGTTTGCCAGCAAACAATAGACAACTGATCATGTTGCTAAATGTTCTGATGGGAGAGGGCAGGAATTCTCCAAACCATTATCTGGCTTAACCAGGAGCTCTTCAGTGATCTGAAACTCAAGAGTCCTACAAAAAGTGGAAACTAGGTCAAATATCAAAGGATGAACATAAACAACACAAATATGTAGAGACAAAAAAGAACACGGAAGATGGTGGAGCTGGAGGTAGGAGCTGCTGAAGTGAACGCTCGTTCCCCAGCTCCCCACCCGGCTCCCTGGGCTCCACTGCACCGCACTGCCTGCTGAAGGGGCCTGCACAGACTCCAGCCAAGGTCTGCTGTTTCAGTTGTAAGGTTGTTGGGGGCAGGTACTCTTTCATACTCTGGTCACTCGATCTGACCTAAAAGTCACAATATTACAACAAAAAGACTTCAAAAACAGACCCCAACAAGAGACTGCTGAATTGGAAGTAATTTGCAAACTGGACACAATTAACTTAGGCTTGAATAGAGACTGGGAGTGGATGAGTCCATTACACAAAGTAAAACTATTTCTCCATGTTTATTCCCCCCCCTTCCCCCCCCACACTGTTCCTCAGATGTTCTGCTGGAAATGGCCCACCTTGATTATCACTACAAAAGGTTCCCCCCCTCAGGCTTCTTCTCAGCAGCTCTCCTGCTGGTAATAGCTCATCTTAAGTGATCACTCTCCTTACAGTGTGTATGATAACACCCATTTTTCATGTTCTGTGTGTGTATAAATCTCACTGTATTTTCCACTGAATGCATCCAATGAAGTGAGCTGTAGCTCACGAAAGCTTATGCTCAAATAAATTGGTTAGTGTCTAAGGTGCCACAAGTACTCCTGTTCCCAGAAAGAAAAGTCAGTGGTTCACGATCAAGCTGGAAGGGCATATCGAGTGGGATCCTGTAGGCATCCGTTCTGGGTCCAGTCCTGGTCAATATCTTAATGACTTAGATAATTACGGAGAGTACAGTTAAAGTTTGTGGATAATATCAAGCTTGGAGGGGTTGCAAGTGCTCTGGAGCATAGGATTAAATTCACAATCAGTTGCATACTTACAAAATGGGAAATGACTGCCTAGGAAGAAGTACTGGGGATCATAGTGGATCACAACCTAAATGAGTCATCAGTTTAAAAAAAAAAAACATTATTCTGGGATATATTAGCAGGAGTGTTGTAAGATGTGAGAAGTAATTCTTCTGCTCTATTCTGCGCGGATTAGACCTCAACTGGACTACTGAGTCCAGTTCTGAGCAGTACATTTCAGGAAAGAGGTGGACAAATGAGAGGAAGTCCAGACAAGAGCAACAAAAATGATTTAACAGTCTAGAAAACATGACCTATGAGGGAAGATTGGAGGCGGGGGAGTGGGTTTGTTTAGTCTAGAAAATGATTGTCCCCCCCACCCCCAGGCTTCTTCTCAAGTACATAAGTTTGTTACAAGAAGGTTTTTATTAAAAAAAAAAAAAATTACTTTTTGGATAGGACAAGAAACAATGGGCTTAAATTGTAGCAAAGGTGGTTTAGGTTGGACAGTAGGAAAAACTTCCTAACTGTCAGGGTCCATAAGCACTGGAATAAACTGCCTAGGGGGGCTGTGGAATATCTATCATTGAAAATTTTTAAGAGCAGGTTAGATACGCATACTTGTCAGGGATGGTTTAGTTAATACTTGTTCTGCCATGAGTGCAGGGAACTGGATTAGGAGACCTCTTGGTCCCTTCCCATCCTGTGAGTCTATGATGCAAGCAGTTTGGTGAGGAAGCTTCAGTAACTGCTTGGGAATAAGTAAACATTCTGCACAGCAATGTGGATAAAAATGTCTTCTTTTTTTTTTTTAAAAAACTGATTTAAATGCATATTTTTTAATTTAAAAAAAGGCCTAAACTTATTGTAATCCTATTTAAATAAAAATGTCCAAGCATACATACATGCTGCTGAAATGTCAGACTACTGAACAGCTAAGTCACTGGCTAAACAACTGGAACCGGTTGTTTGGTTTAGCACTTAAATAATTCAGATATCTGCCGCTAATTCTTTCTTTAGTTTTAAATGTTCAGACAAGATTTGATAAGCTTTTATTATGTATCAGCACATCTAATGTAACTTTTGTAGCTATTTTTTTATATTTATTGAACTCCAGTTGCCACACAAATGCAGTTTTACACACTGCATGAGTAAAAATTAATCCTGTAGTACTTAAAATATTGTTTTCTAACACTGAAAGGAAAAATTGAGAATAAGAATCAGACTTTATTGAGGAAAACTTAAAGTACAAATTCAAAACCAGATTAAAACTGATTGTTTAAATCATGTTCCCTATTTCCTGATTGAAATTGCTTTTGATTTAAATAAAATCATCCTGACCTACAGTAAAGAAGTAGGAAGTGCGACATCGTGGTAAAACTGCTACATACTTAACCAAAATACTAAGGGCTGAATACCTGTTCTCCATAAATACACTGACACATGTTGTTCTTGACGTGCTTAGGTAACACACACTGGGCTACAGTATCTGTAGGCTTGTTTTTGCACATATAACTGACCTCAAGCACCTCATGCTCCTGCCAAACTGGGGGTGGTATTCTATCTTGCCTATTGCATTATTTTAAAAAGTTTGTAGAGTACTTCAGTTGAACTTGGTACAACTTAAACTGATAAAGTGACTCTCTTAACAACATGAAATCTTCTGCTTGGTGAAGGGACGATATTCTAGTTGTGGGCCTTGGATGCTCTATTCAAGCTAGGCTGTACATATCTTCACCAAATGCTTTTAAAGGTGACATGCAAAAGAAAAATGGGTTTGAGCCCTCTTTGTATTTTTCAAATATAAAGAATGCCCAAAAGACAATTGAGAAGCCAGGTGATCAAAGTGTGTGTATAATCTTTAAAAATATTTGGAATGTCAAGTCTGGTTTTCCCTGGGTTTGCTAAAAGATTGGAGATTTCAAATATGTATTCTGAGTTTTTTCACCTCTTAACTGAGGGTCAGGGGTATTCTCTTTTTAAGAGATCTCTTCTAAGAATTTCTCAGCCATTTGAGTTATAGGAAAATTTTAAAGTCTGATTTTTAAAAAACACCCTCTCTTACTCAGCTTTCAGTCTTAAAATAAATGCTTCCTGTCAAAGAATGCATCTGATACCAGGAAGTGAGCATCCCAGTCCTGAGAGATCTTGAAGTTCAGCTGTGTCTGAGCCACTAATCTGTGGGTGCAATCAAAGATATCTACAGGATGGCCAGAGTTCTGTGTAAAGGCTCTTAATAATCTTGATTAGATTAGTCAAAATGCTGAATTTAATGGTGCAGGCCACTCTAGCTATCCTGAGCTCCATAAATTACTTTGGTCAAGTTGTCAAAACTGATCAGTGATTGGTGGGGCATCCAGTATCACTAGTCACTCAGGCAAAAATTTAGGATGTAGTCTTGTTTTGTAAAGCATTCTTGGTAATTTGGCTACCTTGCAGAGCCTTTCTACCATTTCTGAAAGAAACCACAATGCAGATTCTGATGCAAATACTTGCTTAACAATATATTATGTCAGGGTTGGCCAAACTTACTGAGCCTCTGAGCTGCATACAACAATCTTCAGAAGTTTGAGATCCAGCAGGTACCTGCTGGGGCTTGGGGATTCAGCTGTGCTCCTGCTGGAGCCCCGGCAGGTATGCCCTGCAGGGCTGAAGCCCCAAGACACACACCCCTTCTCTGCAGAAGCTGCTACCTGCAAGGCAAAGGTCCCAAGCTCTTCCCCCCCCCCCCCCCCGCCCAGTCTGGGAGGTGGAGAATTGGGAAGGGCAGCAAGGGGAGCACCATGACCCACACTTTAACTGTAAAAGATACACCTGGGAGTGTTCTTTGCCAAAAAAAAAAAAATTCTGTGCACAATATTTTAAAATTCTGCAAATTTTATTTGTCAAAGTAACACTATGGTATCACGCCACTTTCAATTATTTTGCTAATTTGTTTAAAAATACTTGTAAGCCACGTATGTCTGTAACCAGATGTGCTCTCTCTCTCCCTCAGGAGTAGAGAGTTAAAGAAACCCCTCTGACACCCCAGTTCCTGTTTCTCTGTCCAGTCCCTCCTTCCCAAGCCCAGCTGGGAGGCTAGACACCCACAATCTCTTCTCCTCCCTAGAAGGCAGCTGCTGCGTGTCCCCCCTCCCCTCCAGCTCCAATATCTGCACCCCTCCCCCCAGAGGCCAGCAGCGGGCCCCCAGCCCAGATTCCTGAACCCCCTCCCCTGCCAGAGGCCAGCTATGGTCCCCCTAGCCCAGACATTCCCCACCTCCAGAGCCCAGGGATCCAGAGGGAGAAACAGCTTGATGCTCTATCCCAGGCTTGCATGGAATTTCCTATGTGCCACCCTCTCCTTCCCTCAGGGCATGCTGGGGACTGCAGCTGCCAGGAACGCTGTAACATCCTCTCCCTCTCCCCAGCAGTGTCTTCTATATGTGAGCGTGGCTCTGCTGGGCCCAGTGGCCTCTAGTGGGGGCTAGCAGCACTTCAGCCCATTTCTGTGGGGGAAAGGAAATTGTGTGCATACATTAATTTCTGCAAAATTCTGCATTGAACAGTGGCACAGAATACCCTTATGACTAAAAAGAGCCACAGTTTAGCCACTCCTGTAGTATGTCAACAGGCAAGGGAGTACCTACAACTCCTTTGTCGAGAAACTGTTAAGCCTAACATAGTTCTCATGGACCTTGTAGATCTCTCATTTGATCCCTTATCCAAGGCACTCTACCACTTCACCATTAAAGCAGTCTTCCTGATCGCTATCCCCTCAGCCAGAAGCTTAGGTGAAAGCCAAACACTAATGGTATATCCTTCTTAGATAGTATTCCAAAGTGTGGTGCTGAGATCATAGCCTAAATTCCTTACAAGGTGCTGTCTAACTTTAATTTAAACCAAGCCCTCAATCTCCCAGTTTTCTTCTCCAAACCCTATTCAGACATAGAGAAGCCAAATTGCACACCCTGTGTTCAAAGCCTTTCTTTATTGCCTAGCTAGCACAAACCCCTTCAGCTTGCCTAAGGGAGACTCCTGTACAGGAAATCTGCAGAATAGCTACAAGGAGTGCCGTTTCTATATTTACAAAATATGCCCTACATTTGGCATCTAGGTCAGATGCCAAATTTTGGAGAACAGTTTTGCAATCTGTAGTTAGATATAAATAAAACTCCTTGAACCTTCCCTCCCCCCACTTCCTTTGGAACCTGCTAGAACTCATATCCACATGGACAAAGACTGAGAGCACATTTCCTTATCGTTAAGGCTAAGATTTTTGTTATGCATATTTTTAGTAAAAGTCACGCAGGTCACGGGCAATAAAGAAAAATTCACGGAAGGCAATGCTTATCCTGATTTTTACTAAAAATATGTGTGACAAAATGGGGAGCTGTGGGGTCTGGCTGGGAGGTACTGGGGGTACCCCGCAGTTTCCAGCCACCACAGGTGGTGGGAAGACCCTGCAGCTCCCAGATGCTGTGGGCTGAACTCATGCAGATCTCTGGAAGTTAAGGACTCTGACTTCCGTGACCTTCATGACAAACTCGCAACTTTACTTTATAGTTACAGTGGTTCAAGATGTCTAGTCTGTGTAGCGCCCATGACCTATCCTCTATCCCTGTGCTTTTGGAGTCCATATCTGCTGGGATTCTGAATTAGTGAGGGAAGTGAGAAGCAGTAAGGGCTGCACTGCCGTACAGTTCTTCAGCTGGGGCATGCATGAGGAGACAATGCTGAGGGTCAATTTAAGGATTTAGAGTGAATGAATTAGAGTGTATGAGCACCACAATTGTAACTCTCACACTTACAATAACTGCAGTTCTTGGAGGTAAGTAATTGTTCTTTGCACAAGACAAGATAAAGGATAATTCTTATTTATTAAATCTTTAAGGTCCCACCACAGTGGCCTCCTGGGGAGCAAAGGAATTATGTTGTACCTCCGGTAAGGTGATTAAAACTTAGTGCATGAAATTTCAACCTTCTTGTTTGAGTCATGCTCTGCTATCATAACACTCGTAATCAAAATCAAACTTTTATTGGTGTAAAATTGCTCTGCAAAGAGTAGTTTCAGAGTAGCAGCCATGTTAGTCTGTATCCACAAAAAGAAAAGGAGTACTTGTGGCACCTTAGAGACCATCAAATTTATTTGAGCATAAGCTTTCGTGAGCATCCGATGTAGTGAGCTGTAGCTCACAGAAGCTTATGCTCAAATAAATTTGTTAGTCTCTAAGGTGCCACAAGTACTCCTTTTCTTTCTGCAAAGAGTAGACATCTCTGGATTAAATGCTGACAGTGGTACTCATGACTGATATTGCTGATTAAGTCTTGGTTTAGGGTTTCGTACTTGCATGGAAGCTCCCTTAAGGAAGGGTTTCTCGGGAGAACAAAAACAAGTTTCATTTCTTCTTTCTTCATATTCTCCCAATTGAGCCCCTGGGAGAGTTCTAAGGTTCTAAAATAACATAATTTGAACTACTTCTTTTTCATGGAAACTTAGAGGGGATAAAATCATAGCCTTCACTTTTTTCTCCAAGAGCTGTACAACGAGGGCTTTACTGCTGCTTATTGATTGTTCCAATTTTTTTGAAAGGCTCTCTGATAGTGTATAATAAAGCAGACGCTTGTAGTATTTCTGAAAGTGTCTACAAGTTGCTGAATCTGGTTCCTTCTAAACCCTACTGAAGCAAGATAGACTATAGTATGTCTGCCAAATTGAATGAACTGGCAACAGTGATTGGAAACCATCAGCTCCAACTCCCAAAGAAAGGTAACTTTCCGTGGTTTTGCAGAAGTGACAAAACATGTAATTCTTACTCTTATTTTCCCTTTAGAGACTTGTAAGAATTTTATTCTACTTGTATAAAACCTAAAACTCGAATCACTGTCCACATTTAATCCAGATGTACTTTTTTTTCCATTGGAGGGTCTGACATCACTTTAGGGATAATTTATTTTAGTGCAATGAATTATTTGGCCATGATCTGAAATTGTGCTGTTTGAGTATATGGATAGGATATGTGTACAGTGGAATTGGACACCGGCGGCTGGCCTGTACTAGCTGACTTGAGCTTGTGAGGCTTGGGCTAAAGGGCTGTTTAATTGCAGTTGTAGGTACTGGGGCTTGGGCTGGAGCCTGGAGATCGCAGGGCTTGCGTCTGAGCTTGAACGTCTACACCACAATTAAACACATAAGCTCCCTGAGCCAAAGTCAGCTGGCATGGGCCGGTTGCAGGTGTCTTAGACTAGATCTACACTGGAATTATCTCAAAGTTGCTACACTTCTTTTTTTCTTACTGTGAATGGTATCTCTTCAATGCCATTTCTCACAGTCCCCCTATAGGATGGGTGGGGGATTGGAAATAATGTTCATTGCTTTCCCACTCTGATGTTTTGAGTCTCAGGGATGGACTTCTCTTTCACAAACTATTGCAGGTGTCGCCACCCATCCCCATGTTGAACAATTACTCAGTTCAAGTCATAGTTAAGAAATGGACTTATATTGTCCTATTTTTGAGTGGGTAGGGGTAGATCATGTGTACCAAGCTTTCTTGGTAGCATACTCTTACATCTAACATAGAGGGAGAAATCCCTGTGCTCAACACATTCTTTGCAGGGAAAGTCTGTAGATCCATTCCAGTGTGTCTTCCATTTACTGGAGCTCACCAGAAACAGACTTATCACTGACCACTCACAGCAGTCTGGAAGTGGCCGTATCCCTGAATCTCCAGCCAGTTTAAGCTACATAACCGTTAATGTTTAAAGGAATTCATTCTAACAGGCTGCTAAACATTCTCCTAAAAGCAACTTCTAGTTCCATTCCAATTACTAGCTGGCAGACAAATAGTGTGCATTAAAGACAGGTGCTGTAGAGTGAGCTGTCTTTCAGAATTATAGTGCTTATACTGGGTTGTATGGATCAGCAGAATTTTTTCTCTAGAAGAAACACAGCTGCTGCTTCGAGTGATTGCTCATGTGTATTCCACAATAGATGTGTGTGCTTGCCACATGCATTGATGTGGGAAGCTTTTCCCCTAACAGTACCTGTAGGGGAGTGCCCCAGCGACCCCTGGAGTGGTGCCTCCATGGCACAGTATAAGGGGCGCTGTGCACTCCCCCCACCCTCAAGTTCCTTCTTGCTGCCAGTGAAGGTGCTTCGGAACTGCTCTGCTCCAGCTTTGCTTTAGCTCGTCCCCAGAACTCTTGTTCCTTCAGTGTATGGTACCTGTAGTTAGTAGTTTAGTTAGTGCACCTGGGCCAAGGCATGCCCTGTGCCCTGGGTTTTAAGTCATGCGACACTTGTAGGCAACCAATGCCAGTGAGTGATCTGCCCACAGACTGCTTACATTGTTTGGGTGAAACCCATCTCTGTGATCGCTGCAAGATTTGCAAGTCGTTTAAGCCTTGGACCGAGAGAGAGAGAGAGAGACATTAGGCTCTGGGCCATCCTGATGGAGTCGGCGTTGACCCCAACTCCGGCATGCCTCTCCGAGTCGGTACAGAGTACCATGGTGTTGGTACTCGGCGACCCACCAGCGCCATCTACCAGTCGGCACTTGTCCCCATCCGCAGTGCACGCCAAGATGGCGAAGAGGCCTTCTCTGCCGCGGCACAGGAGCAAGACTTTGGGAGAGGCTAGACCCATGTTGGGCAGTCCTCTGTCCCCATCAGCCTGTAGGCCTCCAACTCAGGTCCAGCCTGGCCCATTTGGAGCAGGCTTCCCCGGATGTTGGGATGCTCTCCATGCCAGAGGCCCTGCAAGCGGCTCGGGACATTATGTCCATGCCAGTACCAGGAGCACCGCCAATGTTGGCCCCATGGTCCAGAGGCAAGCTGCCACTGGGATCTCCGCAGTCACCCCCAACTTGGTATGATCTTGGTTGAGGGAATGTTCCTGACGCTGTTTGCCACTCAGCGACCGTCCATGCGTAGTCTATGCAGGTTGTCATCGGGGGGGGGAGGGAGAGGGAGGGGTGGGTGGTCGGTTATCTGGCTGGGTTCCATCTGACAGAGACTCCAGGCACCGCTCCACCTCGAGGAGCGGATACCGACAGGACTGAGGCAGATAACACTAAACGTCTTCGTTTTAGAAGGGCTATCATAGCCAGTTGCGACACAAACATTGACACCATTCTTGTTCGTCTCGCTCCAGGACCCCACTGCTCCCGTAGTCTTGGTTGTCAATTGTCATCACCTCACCATCGCGGATCAGCCCGCCGGAGCCGATTGCAGAGGAGCTGCTACCCGCGGTATCGTTCCTCTACATCAGGGTCATGGTCTCATGGTCAGCACCACTCCCGGCCCGCTGCGCCTCCTGGTCCAGGGACAGCGGCAGGTTGTACGTCAGCCTGACCTCCCTTCGTAGTCGCCCGTCAGTGGGTCAGGCCGAACAGCCTGCTCCGCTGGTGCTACAGCAGGTGCAATGTCACCGGGCCCCGTGGCCAGCACAGTGGTACCAGTGGGCACCGTGGCCCCTGACGCAACCCCCGGTGGGGGCTTGCTCGGTAGCCCGAGCCTTGGATCGGCCTCCCTCTCCCAGCATCCTAGGAAGGAGTCGGTGGGACATGCATCTTCAGCACTGGGCCCAGAGAGCGACCAGGGGGTGGATCTCCGGTGCCAGTGGACATGCAAAGTACCGCCCCTGCCTCCTCGCCCTCCCCAGTGAGGCAATTATAGCCCTTCCTCCCTCTGTCCCGCAGGAGGACTCTAAAGCCCACCAGGAGCTATTGAAAAGGGTGGCATCAAACCTCCAGGCAGAGGAGGTGGAGGAGTCCTGAGACTCCCTTTTTAACATCCTGTCTGCCTCGGTACCAGACAGGGTGGCCTTGCCACTCCATGAAGGGGTGGTGAAAATTTCAAATGTCTTATGGCAAACCCCTGCCTCATTGGCCCCCCTCTCTAAGAGAGCGGAACGCAAGTAATTTGTGCCCACCAAAGGACATGGATACCTTTACACCCATCCTGCTCCTGACTCCCTGGTGGTTGAGTTGGTCAACCACAGGGAACGGCAGGGCCAGCCAGTCCCTACTCAGAAAAATAAAGATTCAAGGAGGCTGGATTGATCTGGGAGAAAAATTTATTTGTCCTCGAGCTTCCAGTTACGGGTGGCAAACCATCAGGCTCTCCTGGCTCGTATGAGTTCAATCTATGGGGCTCTCTGCCCAAGTTCAAGGACTCCCTCCAGGAGCATGACAGGAAGGAGTTCAGAGCTCTAGTGTAGGAGGGTACAGCAGCTGCCAGGTTAACCCTCCAGGCAGCGTTGGATGTGGCAGACACGGCCGCGCAATCCATGGCCTCTGTGGTGTCCATGAGAAGGGCGTCGTGGCTCCTGCTGTCCAGAGACGTGCAGAGCAATTTGTGCAATTTGACAGCAAGGTGCAATTTGACAGCAAGGCTCTGTTTGTGAAACAGATGGACATAAAACTGCATGGCCTGAAGGAATCCCACACTACACTTAAGTCTCTATGTTCTGGCTCCGGCTAGAGCTAAGTTTAAGCCGCAGTAGGCTCTCACCCAGGCTACCCACTCTAAATATGAGACCCCTTATAAAAAGTTGCAGGACTATAAGAAACGGCCGCAGAGACAGTCTGTCTGCCCCCCAGCCTGGGTCATCCAAAGGCAAACAGGCAGGGAAACAGCAGTTTTGATGGGATGCCCGGGGGAGACCTACCAGTTCTCATCAGGGATCCACACTCAATAAAGACAGGTTTCAGAGTAACAGCCGTGTTAGTCTGTATTCGCAAAAAGAAAAGGAGTACTTGTGGCACCTTAGAGACGAACCAATTTATTTGAGCATAAACTTTCGTGAGCTACAAGTGAGCTGTTGCTCACGAAAGTTTATGCTCAAATAAATTGGTTAGTCTCTAAGGTGCCACAAGTACTCCTTTTCTTTTCACACTCAATAAAGCTTCCCTTCTCCAGTCGGTTGTGTGCTTTTCTCCCGGACTGGTTGCGGCTAACCTCGGACCAATGGGTCCTCAGCACCATCTCTCGGGGCTACACCCTCCAGTTTACCTTGACCCCTCTCACGAGGCTCTGCTCGAGCAGGAGGTGGGATGACTCCTTAGCCTAGGAGCAGTGGAAGTGGTGCCAGCAGAGTTCAGATGCAAAGGGGACTACTCCCACTATTTCCTTATCCCAAAGGCCAAAGGGGGGCTCAGGCCCATCCTGGACCTGCGAGGCCTAACCAATACATGGTGAAGCTTAAGTTCCGCATGGTCTCCCTGGCCTCCATCATTCCCTCCCTGGATCCTGGGGACTGGTACGCTGCCCTTAATCTGCAGGATGTGTACTTCCATGTCCATATATTTGAGGGGCACAGACGTTTGTTCCGTTTCACGGTGGGGCAGGAATACTACCAATTTACGGTCCTCCCGTTTTGGCCTGTCCACTGCCCCCAGGGTATTTACAAAGTGTATGTCTGTGGTGGTGGCCTACCTCAGGCACTGCGGGGTCCAGATCTTCCCCTATCTGGATGACTGGTTGGTCAAGGGCAGCTCCCGGTCTCAGGTGCAGGACCACATGGTGCTCATTCTGTCCATGTGCACCACTCTGGGTGTGTTGGTAAATGACACCAAGTCCACATTAGTCCCGGTACAACGCATAGAGTTTATCGGGGTGGTCCTGGACGCCATGTCGTCCAGAGCCTCCCTCCCACCGGACAGGTTCAGGACCCTGAAGGGGCTCTTCAATACAGTCACAACAGTGACAACAACCAGAGCGTGTTTCCAGCTTTTGGGTCTCATGTTGGCGTGCACACGTGATTCATCATGGTCAGACTGAGGATGAGGCCCCTCCAGCTCTCGTTGGCCTCTGTGTTCTCCCCGGCCAGAGACAGGATTGACAAGGTCCTCACTGACAACACGGCCTTGATGTTTTACATCAATAGACAGGGCTCGATCCTCTGCCTTCTGCCTGGAAGCCCTCAGGCTGTGGGATTTCTGTATAGCCACAACATTTTCATACAGGCCTACCACCTACCAGGCGCCTGGAACTCACGGGTGGATTGCTTGAGCAGGGACTTCTCCTCTCAGAACGAGTGGTCTCTTCACCCTGAGGTGGTGCCCAGACTTTTCCAAGAGTGGGGAACTCCCCAGGTGGACTTGTTTGCAATTTGGCAGAACCGTCACTGTCCCCGGTTCTGCTCCGGGGAGGGGGCTGGGATGGTGCGCTATCTCCGATGCCTTCCTCCTGTCCTTGTCAGGCCAGTTTCTCTATGCCTTTCCCGCTGATCAGCAAGGTCCTGGAAAAGATAAAGACAGGGCCTGGGTCCTCCTGATTTCCCCGGTGTGGCCCAGCATTGGTACAGGACCCTCACGACCCTGGCAGTCGCCCCACCATGGCCATTACCGTCCCACCCGGACATCCTTTCCCAGGACCAGGGCCGCCTCCTTCACCCCAACCTAGCAGCACTCCACCTCATGGCGTGGCTGCCTCAGGGGATAGGCCAGGAGGAAAGGACATGCTTGGAAGGGGTTCAGCATGTCCTCTTGGAAAGCAGGCGACCCTCCACGCGCCGAGCCTACTTGGCAAAGTGGTCTCGGTTTTCCCAGTGGGTGACTGACTGGGGCGTTTTCCCCCATGACTGCCCTGATACAGCTCATCTTGGACTAACTCCTTCACCTTAGAGCCCAGGGCTTGGCGCCCTCATCTGTCAAGGTGCATTTGGCAGCCATATCTGCCTTCCACTTGCCGGTGCAGGGACACATGGTATTCTCCCATGCTATGACTGGCCGATTCCTTAAGAGATTGGTCGTCTCTTCCCGTACGTTAGGCCCCCATCCCGCAGTGGGACCTGAACTTGGTGCTGGCCCAGCTCATGGGCCCCCTCTTTGAGCCGTGCTTCTGGTTGCACCTCTCATGGAAGGTGGCCTTCCTGGTGGCGATCACGGGTCTTGGAACTCAGGGCCCTGACCTTGGAGCCCCCGTACATGGTGTTCCATAAGGATAAGGTCCAGTTCTGCCCACATTTTTCGTTCTTCCCAAAGGTGGTCTCCGCTTACCACATGAGTCAGGACATTTTCCTGCTGGTCCTCTGCCCCAGGAGTCCAGCGAGGAACGCCATCTCCAAACACTGGATGTGAGATGGGCTCTGGCTTTTTTATCTGGAGCAGAATAAGCCATTCAGGAAGTCTTCGCAGCTGTTCATTGCCTCGGCTGAACGCATGAGTGGTCCACCGATCTCCACTCAGTAGCTCTCCAAGTGGATCACCTTGTGCATCCATACCTGTTATGACCTGGCGGGAATCCCTCCGCTGTCAATTGTGAGGGCACACTACACTAGGGCACAGGCCTTGTCGGGTGCCTTTTTAGCCCATGTCCCCTTTCAGGACATTTGCAGGACTGCTACATGGTCTTCAGTTCACACGTTCATCTCGTATTATGCGATTGTCTCCCAGACCAGGGAAGATGCTGGGTTCGCAGGGCTGTGCTCCGTCCCGAGAATTTGTGAACTCCTACCCACCTCCAACAGATATAGCTTGGAATCGCCTATTGTGGAATACACATGAGCAATCACTCAAAGAAGAAACGACAGTTACCTTTTCTGCATCTGGTGTTCTTCGAGATGTGTTGCTCATGTTTATTCCACATCCTGCCCTCCTTCCTCTCTGTTGGAGTTGTCTGGCAAGAAGGAACTGAGGGTGGGAGGGGGGCGCGTAGCGCCCCTTATACCGTGCTATGGAGGCGCCGCTCCAGGGGTTGCTAGGGGCGCTCCGCTATGGGTACAGCTAGGGGAAAAACTTCCAACACCGGTGCATGTGGCAAGCACGCACACCTATTGTGGAATAGACATATGAGCAACACATCTCGAAGAACGCCATTTATGGAAAGGGTAAAGTGTCTTTTTTTTGAATGAGACATTTTGCTGGTATGTGTGCATGTAGTAAGCACCATACAGCTTCATGGTATAGTGCTTCATTGTGGCAATGTAGTAAGCATTTTATAGTGTGGAACAGGAAAAGTGAAGCCTTTAATTGTAGTAGTCTGAACACAGAGTGAACAAGTAGGGAGAACAGACCTTTTTAGGAAGAAAATTTATCACAGATTTGTGTGTAGGGGGCGTTTCTCAGAAGGGCAGTGGCCACAAGGGTGTTGTGGCCATATGAGTAGTCAGCCAAGCTCCCTTCCTTGATTACAGCAGTTTTTCTTGGCTGAAGCTTCAGATACCAGCAAGTTTCTTGTAATGCGTAGTTATAACTTTCTCACAGAATAGCTTTAGACTGAGTTCTTATCTCCCATTTGGGTGGTCATATAGGGTAGAAGATACTGTCGTGTCATTTTTGCCTTGATATGCCAGTTGAACCATGAAATGATTACTACTTTTGTGCAATACCTCTAATGGAATGGCCTTGTACTCCTAAATCTTTCACTAGGAGACTACTGGAACCTCAGTGGTTCTCAAGGATTTTTGGGCCTCTGTTTGTTAGTGTCTTGAGCACTACCCACCTGTCAGTACCTTGGATCCCCCAGAACTTCCCATGCCAGATTCTTTCTGGTGGCAATCAGAAACGATTTACATGTGCTCCCTTCCAGCTCTTGGCCCGGTCTCTGCAGTCTATTGGCTTCAGCTGTGAACACCTTTTTTTCCCTTCTTCTCCACCCAAATTAGATAAAATTCCCTATTAAAATAACCCTTTTTGAGAGGGAGAGCTGGGTCTAACTTCCAGCATAATACCATGAAATGTGTCCTGGTGGACCAGTCATTCAGCTTATCTGGAAGGAGCAATAGATACTCCTGTGACATTTTTCGATTTATTTTTTTTAAAGTGTCAACACTTTTACTTTTTCTTTAATATTTTTTTTCATTATTACTGTGCTTTAGCGGTAGTTGAGGACCAAGGACCCAGCTGCTGTTCTTCCAAACTGCTCCAACTCAAATTGTAGTAGACCTACAACCATCCACCTTGGGATGGGGAGCATCTATACTTTCATTCCTTAACTGCAACACTTAATTATACAGGCTTATACTTCAGTAAACTACCACTGCAGTGAAGTAGAGCCAGAAGTTATCCAAGCAGAATGTTCTGTTCCAGAGCCTACACAATCATCTGGAAACAGTCCACAAAAGGCAAGTGTTCACTCTGAAGATGTATACTCTTAATGTAACCCTATAACCTATTTCTAGGAACTTGTGTAGAAGGAAGATGTAATAGATAGGGCACAGTCCTGGGATCCTGGAAAACTGGGTTCAGTTTCTGCATAGTCTTGGACTTTGAGAGACTTGTCCAAAGTCACAGTCTACCCAGTGCCTCAGTTTCCCCTCAGTAAGAGGCGGGTAAATACTTCCTCAAACAGACAGTGTGAGGTGGTTGGGTACTATGATAGACAAATGTATAAATCAGCATTAATTCAGCAAGCAACTTTGTTTAATCATTTGGCTTGACTTACAGTGGGAATCACATGAAACAAGGTACAACTTGTTTTTTTAATTGTTAAAGTGAATTTTATTTTGCTTCTAACATTTGTAGAGACAAACATTGGGGAGTATCACACTTGTCTTTCATGTTGAAGACTCATAGTTTAGGAAAGGGCATCATGTCCCCTTCTTGTTGTAGATTCTTAACTTTTGGGACTTAAATTTAACTTGGTATTCAATAGACATCACTTACTCATATTGCCAATTAATAATAAATTCTGGCTTGAGATATGGAGATGGAACGCTTTTTTGGTCAGTGGCATTTCAGGTATGGACGAGGTTACTAGAGGAAACAAGTTAACTGAAATCTGTCCTTCAGATAATGCTGTAAAACCGCAGCCTAGTAACTTTCTTTCACAAAGAACAGAAAAGCTTCATATAACTCCGAGGGAAAGAACAAAATTGTTGTGTAATATATTGATATAGTGTGAATATAAACTAGTTTTTTAGCATTCAGATACTATAAAAAATAAGTGTTTGATAAATATTGACACTTGCCAGTAATCCTGAATGTTTACACTTCAAAGTTTTTAGCATCTGATTTATAGACATGATGGTAGCAATGAACTAGATAATAAAATCAGTATTGTTGTAGATGCATGTTACTGAAAACATGTATTTCAGAAGTCTGTGGACCGAAGCATACAGACAGTGGTATCCTGTCTGTTTAATCCCGAGAACCGTCTGAGAAACACTCTTGTATCCCAAGAGGACTATTTCAAGGTACGGAGTAAAAGCAAACTTTAAAGATTTGACATATAGTTTTTCTTCCACCACTAAATACTATGGTGACAAGTAACTCAAATGCTGATAGACTTGTTCCATTTTTGCAACTGTAGGCTGCTCTGGACCATAGCTGTGTCTGGCTCTGACACTTACTGTGATTGTTTGCTTGCTTTTCTGTAGAGATCTTCGATATAAATATTGCAGTATCATTTGGAAGGTCTTGAATCTTAATACTACTGCCCAAGACAACCTTTGTGGAATCACTGATGTCCTTGATTTGTGGGTTTTAGATTTAACAGTGCAGTATCACAAACCTGCACAAAAACTGCTTGCAATTCAAACTGGCAATATTGGCATTAGCCTTTTCTTCCACATTTTCCTTCAGTGAGAAATAGATGAACCTTGGTCTGTTGGTACTGAACAAGCAGCAGTTTACTCCCTCATCCAGAGGATGACTTGGGTTCTATAAAGTATGCTCTTCAGATCTGTCATAACTGTATTCTGACATGCAAAATCAGTAAGAGTTGCCACTGCAGCCCTTCCAACTGTGAAATGGAGAATGGTGGCTTGTTCTTAGACCTCTCGGGTCTAAGGCCTAAAGTTTCCAATCACTCTCAGGGTTGCTTTTGTTTTGCTTTGCTTTGCTTTAGGTCACAAATGTGTGTTTGGGCTAAATACAATTTGTGATCACACTGGTATCTTCTGATTAAACTCTCCATTAGGATTTTTTAAGGCTGTCTTTCTGAATCTTTGAATAGTTTTTCAGTTTCTACTGTTTTTGCGGAATAGACACTCCTACTCTATTATCTGAAGTAAAAAGCTTTACGTAGAACGTGGGATTTTGAAGGAGCAAAATTTTAAAATCTGTTTCTGCTTTATGTAACTTACTTTATTCTATCGTAATATCTAGCAATATTGTTACCTTTCCGTGAATTTAAACTATTTTTTTCTTTTCCTCCCTCCACAGGAGAAAAGGGTACATCACTTCAGAAGAAGTAGGGCAGTGCTTAAAAGTGTTTAACCAATGACACTTGAAGACTTAAAGTGCCTGTATTCCATTGATTTGGGGTGTTACTGTTCAGTATAGCAATATGTGCTGTACAATTATGTAATCTTATAGAAAAAGTTACTTCAAGTTGAAGTTGTTCATATTTGCATGTTATCTGTTCCTAGATTGTTTTGTTTCTAGTATTTTAAGGATATGATAGACTAGAAAGTTTCAGTATTACATTACTTGGGTTTTGTGCATGTCCTTTCACTTGATGCTAGAATATGTTAAAGTTTTTTAAGGAATTTGTATGGAAAGATTACTCTTGGTTTAATTTGTAAATGTGTGAATTTTCTTCTGGGGTTTAAGGTACAGTTTGCATGTTGCACTTGTTTTCTCTTAAAACACAGCTTAAATGTCTGACAAGTTTAGCTCATTCAAAAGTTGAACTAGAAATTTGCCCAAGAGGTAGTTTTTAAATTGCGTTCTTAATCAGTGGAACAGAAGACCTCAAGTTGTAACTCAGTTGAAGCCCTTCAAGTCTGTACCCGGTGTTATATTGCTGGTTCTCTACAAATAATCCAATCAATGGGGATTACATTTATTAGTTACAGTTTATGCACCTGGAGTCTGAGCATCACTATCAGTTTGATTGGAAAAAGTAATTAAGCGAATTCTAAAATTCCTAGATCTAATTTAAGAAAAACCCAAGAACATAACAAGCTACATTAACTACTCAGTGGGTTACACTTTTTTACTGAGCAAATTTTAACAATGCCTGTATCTTAAAATTGTGGGAAAATATTGACATTAAAATATCCTTATGTTATGTCACACAAACTGTTAATCAAAGAATTTTGTAAGGAAATATGTTTTATAATAATTATGTAGATTTTAGAAAAACAAATTTGTTAGTCTCTAAGGTACCACAAGTACTCCTTTTCTTTTGCGAATACGGACTAACACGACTGCTACTCTGAAACCTGTAGATTTTAGAGTTTCGTATTTGAAAAACTTAAACAATAAATTTTCTTTTTGTTTGAGTTGGCTTCCTGCTGGAGATGCTAATTACAGTATTGCAGCTGTTGACACAGGTGTTAAATTTTGTCATTCTAGATTTCGCTGTATTCTCCCAGCAGCCATTTGTTGCAGTACTTGTGCTACATTCAACATTACACTGTTACATAGATTTGTAGTAACTGGATAAAATGTAACTAAAACCAGCAACTAAAGATCAAGGTAAAGAGTTTGTCTAATGAATTAGTTTGAGACTGTAGTACAGTCCTTGCTTTTAGACCAAAGTTAAGTCTCTTCAAAGATGGTGCACTGATCCCTTAAAAATGGACTAACTAAGGTGACCTGGCAAATTCCAAAGTAATATTGGCTCCGAAAAATAAACCGTATCCAATGTTGCCCAGGGTTGTCTGAACACAAAACTATGGTAACTTCTATTTTTCCCCCTCTCCAGGTGGTTTCAGGAATAAATCAATGGGGACATAACTCCTCCATTTGATAAATGATTGATACAAACGTCAGTGCTTTCACACACCTTCCCCCCCCCCCCCCAATCCATTTTGAGTCTACAGCACACATCTAAAATAGCAATAGTCTAGAGCAACCCAGATATAGTTACCCAAAGTCTGAGATAGTGTCGAGCAGTCAGCAGCAGGTTTTTGGTGGCCAGCCTTCCTCTTATCCGTTGGGGAGTGGGATGTCACCCTCTGAGCTCATAAAAAAACTTCTCCAGCTTACACACTCTGACTTACGTTTTAATATGTGCTTTGTTTTGAGCAACCTATCTCATAGTAACCCCTTGCAAACTAACAATTTTCCTACTATCAGCAAAACCACTCTGGTCATAACATCAGCAAAAACTCAGTCAGGAACACCTAGATCCATGGTTAACTATCCACACTTCCTCCTGTTCTCATGGTTCTTCCAATTCTATTTCTGTATCAGCAAAACTGAAGCTGCAGCTATTTCATATGTTTATGCAGAGCTGTTATTCACATTGGTGATCTCACTTCTAGTTAATGATGGCTGAGTACACCAAAATGGCTGTGGTTTTGTCAAGTCACTTTCTCTCATAACACCAGCTATTAGTTGCCACAGCTGAGTATGAAGTGGGGAGGGAAGTGATGTTCTGGGGCCTTAGGCGCTCCAAGATGTGACTGTGTACAAAAGTGTATAGGCACTGCTTTGAAGTGTGACTCAAGTATATGTTAGTAAACATCCAGAAGAAAGCATCTCTGGGTATCAAATACAGGCTTTTCAGGGAGAGGTTTTGAATTATCTTCAGGTACCAAGTTGTGCCAGTATTTAAAAAGGGTAAATGGGATGCCCAGGTAACTATAAACCAGTTAGCTTGACATCATTCCCGAGCAAGATAATGGGAAGATTGACATGGGACACATCCACTAAAGAATTGAAAGGATGGTAACATAATGGCAATCAACATAGTTGTGTGGAAAATAGGTTTTGTCAAACTCGATATTGTTTTTAATTGAGATTACAAGATAGAACTAGCTACATTGAGATTATATTCTTAAATTCTTTATGATTTAGTCTTAGTATTACACAACATTCTAATTTTTTTGTATAGTTCTAACTTTTCAATGTAGCCCATATTACATGGATTAAAAACTGATGGATCTCAAAGTAATTGTAATGGGTTATTAGACTATATGGGCGTGTTTCTAGTGTGGTCTCTTAGAGATCTGTTTTTGGCCCAGTGCTATTTAATATCTCATCCAAGATCTGGAAGAAAACAATCATTGCTGTTAAAATTGAAGATGAACATTTTCAGTGATAAACAACAGAGGACAGGTCAGCTATAGAGGCCACTCTGGATCATTTGGTCAGGAGGGCTTAATTGAATGTGTGCAGTACTACACCTGGATGCAAGGTCACATACAATATGGGAGATGGTATCCTTGAGTACAGTAGCAGTGAAAATAATTTGGGGATAATGGTAGATAAACAGCTGAACACAAGCTCCCATTGTGTGCTATGGCCAAGAGGGCTTATACCTCTATGGATCATGTAAGCTGGGACGAACAAGTAGGAGAATGGAGGTGGTATTACACTGCATTTGGCATTAGTGAGACTATATAATTGAAATGCTGTGTTCAGTCTTGATGTTAGCATGTCCAAAACTATTTTGAAAATTGGAAAGGTTTTGTGATGCAAGAATGACTTGAGGTCTGGAAAACAAAGCCAATAAGTCAGAGACTTAAGAAGTTCAGTCTATTTTATTCAAAAGAAGGTTGAGGTTACTTGATCTATCTACAAGTACCTGCATGAGGAAGAGATTTCTGGGAGTAGATAGTTCTTTAATCCAATGGAAAAAGGTGAAATGAGATCCAATGGCTGGAAGCTGAAACTAGACAAACTTGGGTTAGTAGTGTATGCATTTTTAACAGGATAATGAATTGTTGGAACAACTTACCTAGGTATATGGTGGATTCTCCATCATTTGAGCTCTTTAAGATGGGATATCTTTTTAAAAGGTCCCAGGCCACAACCAAAATGTAAAATTATATGTTTTGTTGCATGGTGACCTATAAATGACACTATGGCTGACAACTAATAAAACCTGTTTAGGGTGTTTCCTCATTATGAATAAAAAACTTGGAACAGATTAGTAGGTTGGCTTCATTGGCAGAATTGCTGAGGGGCTACTCTCTCTCCTGCTTCAGAACTTGTGTGGAGATATTTTATAGGCTTATGAATAGCATGAGACAGAGCTGACACCATTCCATGCCTTCTGGTGTGTCGCAAAAGATTTGCCTTTCTTACTCTTGAAAAGATAAAATCTGATCACTAATTTGTAATTTACTCTAGTTCTCATCAGTAGTAAGTTACAAACCATATGCTTCTGAGCAATTTTACAGTAATTGAACGTGATTCCCCTGTACTTAACTGGGAGTTCTCTACTTTCTGTATTTTGGGATTCTTTGTTCCCTGCTGCTGTCTTAAGCAACTAAACACTGTGCCCTTACCTTTGTGACTCAAAATCATAGATTTTTGTTAAACTTTTCCTTTTTTCCCCCCAAAGGTAATTGTTTTTTCATTAATGCAAATTTCATTTAGCTTAACATTTCTGGTTGCAACTATAAGAAACTACTTACAAAATGAGATTAAAAACCAAAGTAGCAAAACCTCCAAAAGTATAAAAAGAAGGTATCTACATAGAGTACATAGTGTTTATTTGATAGTCTTACCAGTTATACCATCTGGTGAGTGTTGATTGTTCTGGATATGAATTGTCCTTACAATCATGCTGTGAAGATTTTTTGTGGTGAAATGCATAGTCCAGGCCTTATGAGTGTCATTTATTTTCTCTTCTATGCGATAGCATTGTGCTGCTTCCCTGAGCTATTTCTTATCCATAGAAAATTTTGGGGGGATTGTTTTGTTTTTTTTTATTCCCATCTGGGAATTGTACATTTTGTAGCGTACACCAATAAAAGTAACAAGTAATAACATATACTTTTTAATGTTCTTTGGAAGACACAATAACCATAACACGGGAACAGTAGGTAAATCTCTATTGTACATTGCATTCAGGAAGTTTAAAACATCTGTTTAGTATGGCTGTAGTTGAGGGCATTACCGGAATATACACACAGTAGAGCGTCTTGCAGATTTACACCAAATATATAATCTGAGTGGATTGTTAATGTGCAACACTCAGTCTTGTGTGTTTAATCTCATTGATGTTTACAGGGTCAAACATTTTTAGCAATGAAGGAAATAGTATAATTTCCCAATACAACCTTGAATGGAAAATTAAGCTATTTTTTTTTGGTAGCATCCAAAATGTGCTAGGGACTTCAGAAATGGATGAGAAGACAGACCCTTCCCCAAAGAGTACTTAGACAAGAGAGGTAATATACCATCATAATGTTAGAGCTTGTGTTAAGTACACCATATCAAGTTTTTATTGTTACTTTTTCTCTTGGTTCCATGGCCGGGTGCCCCCAACCAACCTGCTACACTGCTGTGGCCCCCATGCCTTCCTTTCACAGGCCCCACCATGTGAGACAGATTTACTCTGTATCAGACAGAAGGGCAATATCTGTCTACATTAGAATCCTACTCTGTGTCTGATATATACATGACGTCGACACTAAAAGGAAAAAAGTATTTCCATTTCAGGTATTTGTATGTTTAAAAACAAAGATTTTGCTAAATTCCTTGTGACGTTTTACGTGAGAGGAATCTAATGCTTGAAGATGTAACTTGTAAAGATATGTTTCTTTAATTGTGTTTCACATCACAGGGCTTGCTTTCTTATGTATGACTTAAAGCAACAGATGGTCTGTCTTCCAAATCTGCTAATTAAAAGGTATACAAGCTGCATCTATTCACAGGTATATCTTGGTGGACCTAATATTTCAAGGCAAGCACAGCATATTGTATGTTGCTAAATATGGGGTGTTTTTTCCCCATGTCTTCAATTGGAGATGAATGCTCCTCAGTCTTAACCTTGATGGCTTGATGTATCAAGTGTTGCTCCTTTGGAGGGAGGTCTCTGAGCAGATATTTGGGTTTCAGAGGCACTTAAAAAGGCAAGCTTAATTCATCTTGCTGTGTTGGGGTCATTTTTATTTAATGATTCTGAACTCCAGTGGGAATATTTGAAAATATAATCTGAATCCAGTGAGACTACTGAAAATTGGAGAAGGCTCACAAGGCAGGTGTAGGCTGCAATTTAAGACCAGACTCAGAGTTGATCCCAACTCCCTTTTGTCTACACACAACTCTCTCTGATTCTGTCTTGGACCTAAATTGCTAGGACCCTAGGGGGCTGGAGTGTTCAAGCCTTAGTCAAACTGGGACCTGGGGTTTAAATTCAGTTGCTTTGCAGTGCAGACACACTTTCCCCTGCAGCTGAGGTTCTGGGACTCTGCCAAAAGTATCCCAGAATCCCATGAGCCAACTTCCTTTGTCCTCTTGATTCCAAGAATCTCTAATTGACCCCAAGGAAATGGAAGCATCTCCCTGTGGTGTAGAGCAACAGGTCTGAGAGTCAGTGTTC